GGTCCCGGTCTTGTTGCAGCCGAAGCAGCTCCCCGAGAAGTGGCAGCACGACCTGTTTGACAGCGGCTTCGGGGCGGGGGCCGGCGTGGAGACCGGCGGGAAGTTGCTCGTCTCTAACTTGGACTTCGGCGTCTCGGATGCGGACATCCAGGTGGGGCTCGGGGCGGCGCCGCGGGGGGCGCGGGAGTTTCATTCATTCCACCAGGGTCGGGTGCCCGCGAGAGCCCCACCGGCTCCTCGCCCGCCTGCACCCGGGGCCGAGGATTCCCGGGTGAATCCCCCGTGACGGGGGTTGTGCCGCGGGTGCCTGCCTTGGCGCGGGCCCGGTGCTCCCGAGGGGGGCTGAAACAGCTGGTTATAGATGCTTCGCGAGGGGCTGAGCCGTGGCACACGCGGGAACGATGCTGCACCTCGACTGGTTCCAGACTGGAGAATTCCGTGTGAGCTCTGAGCTCCTCTCTGTGCAGCTGCAGCCGTTTCTGAGGTGCCGCATGCGTGTCCAGGGCTCTGCTGCTGTGTTGGATCGTGTCCTACTGGACACCGAGGGGTTCCCTGGATGCACGGGCGGGGTGACCGGAGAGGTGTCCCATGGCCGTGCCCCGGTCAGAGCCCGCAGTGCCCGCAGTCGCTGCCTCTGCCCTGGAGACTGGACCAGAGGAACGTATGGTTCCTGTGGGCCCTGAGCTGGGTGCCAGGTGTGTCCCCCCAGGGGCTTCTGGCCTGGGTGCACTGCAGGGCACAGCCATCACCATGGGCTCTGACTTTGTGTCTTCATCAGGGAAAACCAAACCCCTGCTGTCAGACCTCCCTCATTATCCTTCAGTCTGGTCCCTCCAGCACTGCTCTGGCTGGGCCTGAGGAATGAAGGGAGCTCTGTCGGGTCACTGAGGAGCGTGCTGGATACCACTCTTTTCCTGCTGTGTTTCCATTTCCATTCCTGCAGACTGGGTGTAAATAAGTCCCTGTCTGTTGCAGTGAGGCCAGGGTGTAAAATGTGGCTCTGCACAGCCCTTGTGCTTCGTGTGTGGCGGGACTCACCTTCCTGCCCCTGCACGAGCTGCCCGGGGCTTTGTTTAGCAGCAGAGCTGACTCAATGGCTTTAGCCTTATTTGTTACTCCCAGCCCCATCATTTAGTGCTGCCTTAGGTGTGGGGTTGGTTTTGTTGCTGCGCTAATTCCTCAGGACGTGGTGCGAGTGGCTGAGGCAGCTGTGCCCGCGGAGGAACCGCCTGGTGTCACTGCCCGTGTCCCTGTGGCGGGAGCAGCTGGGCCTGGGCTCTGGGCATGGCTGGCATGGCCTCGCTTGGGCTGGAAGGTGGCTGCTGGATGCCCTGTGCTGGGAGCACCGTGCCTTGGGCACGGGTTGGCATGGCCAGGGCTGGGCAGTAATGCCCAGCCGCAGCTCCCTGGGCCCCTGTGGGACAGCCCTGGTGGGAAATTCACCATGGTGAGTTGTCCTCGTTGACTTTCCAAATGTAGCACCTGTGAAACAAAATTGGTGGCTTCACTGCTGCCTTTTCCAACCTTTGTGGCATCAAAGGACAGACCTCAGCAGGGAACTTTGCTGGTCTCAGTTTTTGGGGTATGTTCCTAAAGGGAACAAGTAAAGCACAGTGCAACTGCCATCATCTTGTGGATTCCTGTGCTTACATGGCTCATTCTCTGGGAGAAGGATGTCTGGCATCCGGAGTATTTTCAATAGTTGCCCCTTTGACTCGGCCTCAACAAACACCCTCAATTTCTCTGGGAAAAGAAACAGGTTGGCATCCCTTGAGTCTGTTTGACTGGCTGTAAACGTGCTCCTTCAGGAGGTGAATGCAGAACCCTGCTTGGTTTTGCCACGTGTGGCAACTCCCAGAAACTCCCCAATGGGCTGTGCTCCCCTCTGCCATTGGTGTGTTCCCAGACAGCCTGTGGTGGTTGGAAAGGCACCAGTGCTCACCAGGCGTGGCTGTGTGGGGAGCTGCCGTGTTGGCAGCGCTGACGGACGGGCACGCTCCTCTCTCTGTCGTTCTCAGGAGCTCTTTGCAGAGTTTGGGACCTTGAAGAAGGCAGCTGTGCACTATGACAGATCTGGTCGCAGCTTAGGGACGGCGGACGTGCATTTTGAGAGGAAGGCTGATGCTCTGAAGGCGATGAAGCAGTACAACGGGGTCCCCTTGGATGGTGAGTCTCTGTGCTGTCTCCATGGCCTGTTTCTGTGGCTGGAGTGGAGCAGCTGGCACACGTGTGCCTCGCTCCCTTCCTCCCTTCCTCCCAGCCCTGTCCTGCACAGGCTCACGGGTGCTCTCCCTCCCTCCAGGGCGCCCCATGAACATCCAGCTGGTGACATCACAGATCGACACGCAGCGGAGACCAGCACAGAGGTGGGGGAGCCCCTGCCCCAGGCACAGGGTGGGGACCTGCTGGGCCCCTCCCCAGTGGGGAGTGCAGGTCCTGTTTGAGTTCACTGAATGCACTAAAACAGTTGCTTTTTAAAACTCACAGTGTAAACAGAGGTGGCATGACCAGAAACCGTGGGGTCTCGGGGGGATTTGGAGGTGGAGGCAACAGGCGAGGGACTCGTGGCGGGAACAGAGGGAGAGGCAGAGGAGCTGGAAGAACTTCCAAACAGCAGCTCTCTGCAGAAGAACTAGATGCACAGCTGGATGCTTACAATGCCAGGGTAAGTGCTAATTGGGCACTCTGACAGGCTCTCTGCAGCATCTCGTCCTGGGCAGCACTGGCAGCCTGGAGCTGGCAGGAAAGGGAAAGTGTTCTCCAGGACCTTGGACTGAAGCAATCTCTCTCTGAAGCTGAGCTGTGCCTTGGCCCAGGCCTTGGCTTCGCTTTCCAGAGCACATTGTTACCTGCTGTTACTGATGGCTGAGGAACAGCCTCTGCTCTTGCCGGGCTGGGACAGCTCCTCCAGAGCCAGAACCGCTGCAGAACAAAACCCGCAGAGCTGAGAGGTGCAAGACTGGGAAAACAGAAAGGAAAATCCCACGTGGAAGAACTGTGTGGGGTGCTGCCAGGGGAAGGCTGCAATGCTGGTGCTAGAAATGAGCCCCAGCGTGGGGAACTGCTTGCCAGTCACAGCCTTCAGACCTCGCTCAGCCGTCTGTGCCGTGGCCAGGTCAGAATCCCAGCAGGGCCAAGGCTGCGAGGGCACCGCAACAGCACAGTCGGTGCAGGGCCGGGACAAACCAGGGCGAAAGCATGGAAGGATTGGCATGAGCAGGATTCCAGAGGCAGCCATGGGGCAGCGCAGGGGGSTGGGGCTGGGGGGGGGCTGCCAGGGGGCTTGAACTCGCCCTCCCCATCCCACAGCGCTGGGGGCTCCACCAGGGCCAGGTGGGCTGCGTGCAGGGGGTGCTGGGGCGGTACCAGGGGGTGCTGCAGCACGTGGTGATGGTTCCCTCTCTCTCCAGATGGACACTAGCTAAAGCAGCAGTGGCGGGCGCAGGGAAGGACTCCGATCTTGCTCCACACTCCCAGCGGGGGCTGCGGCTGTGGCTACTACTACCGAGGATGGGATTTGTTTTACTTTTATGTTCTGGGATAGGTTTTAACTCCTGTAAAGGTTTTTTTTAATTCTGAGCAGACCTGTTTTGTACCGAGTTATTTTTGGGATAAATTTTTCTGGTTGCCTGTTGGGCCGAGGTGGCTTTTTCACCTTTGCCATAATAAAATAGAACCGTGTCTAGAGCTGTGGCCGCTGCCTTGCCGCACCGTGCTGGGCCCTGCGCCTTCCACCCACCACCGCGCTCTGCCCCGTCCCAGTTTT